CCTGAAGCACAATTTTCCGCATAAATCCTCGTAATTATTCTAACTCGATGTTCATCATCTCCAGAAGCAAAAGAACAGAGGGGGTGTTAGGCAAGATGAAAAACTGGAACAGAAAGTCACGTACATTAGTCGCTGTACCACGTAAATGGAGGTAACAATAAAGCATGGTACTTGGCTATAGTTCGAAAATATACATTATTATCAATCCTACAGATGTATTTGGGATAAGAGAGAAATACGGGCGCTTTTGTTAATGTTTCTGGCTAACTATTGGTATCATCTCTGCAAAATTTCACCTTCTCGATCTTATCTGGCTCACGAAATCGTTTCTCGGCAAAGAAACTTGCATATTTTTTCGGGAGGCCCGTAGGCGAGATCTATGTGAAGTTTAAAACGGAAGAGTGGTTTGATGACCATACTGTTTTTTCGACACTTTAATATTTCTGTTACTTAAAAATAGCGCTTTTCAGCGTTTTAGTAAGCGATCCCTTCCATAGATTCCTTGTACCCAATTTGCGCGAAATTTTACTTCTATCCCCAGATACTCATATGCCACGTTGGTGATCTTATAAGTTTTACGTGATTACAGCGCCTGTTCTCTAATCTACCGGACTTTTCCATATTATTTAGGCAAATTTTTGTGTGCAGAAAAGCAAAGTTCATGCTCTCGTTCCTTGCAAAATATGCTACTTTTGTTATACAGTATCACTAATCATACCCGAACAAAAAGTCAAAATCATACCGCAAAAACAACAAAAAAAGTGGTGTTTTTCGTGGCAACTAAAATAAATTATGCGATCCACAAAAAAGTGCCTATCCCAGGAACAATGAACAGGTCAAGAATACAGGGCTGGCGATTCACTTCCAAGACGTGAGCCTTAGCAACCAGCGAGCTAATGTGCACTATATAGTCATTACAGAGTACAGTACCAGGATTGACCACTCTATCGATGCCGGACATCCTACTCCTGGCCAAATCCCACTATGACCAAGTATCCACTATCAGTGTCTAATTTATCAGCAGCACAATCCTCGAAACTCGACGTTTTACCAAGGCGTATGTTGGCCGAGCGACACCACCAAACGCTATATTCTAACTTACAGGAAAGCTTTAGAGTGGGAAAATTCAAACGTCAGGAAGCACGGACGTCCAGCGACAAAAAATATCATTCGGAAGGCCTTTTTGAAGACTCCCTACGGACAAAATGCAACGGCCACAGGCAGCAGACATCCATCTCCAGACAAAAGATCCCATAGGGTTAGACCTGGAACATGAGCACAACCCCAGATGAAGAGAAGGAAGAAGGAACAACTCCCATACATCTCTGTACCTAGAGCTACAAGAAAATTGCTCTAACCTCATTTTTGAGTACTCAACAAGTGCAACACAAACAGGATGAAACAAAAAGCTCTACAACGACAATATGTTCGAGCATTATTTCCGCTTTCAATTCACTCTAACAGAGGGAAATTATTATAAGTATATCTATTTGGAAAAAAGCACATATTATGGTAAAAACAATAAAAAAAAAAAACAAATACGCCGTTGTTAAAATGTTCGAAAAACTAAATATACATAATAAAACACTGCAAAAGTCAGAAATTACCACAGCGATTTTTCACCATAACATTCTGGTAACCGGAAACGCTACTGAATACAGCCTTTCCGTCCACTTTTTCTAACCCAAATTTTCCTCAAAAAATTGCTTAGAATTGCCAAAAATTTCGAAAAAATCTCCTAAAAAAAATGTCGGAATAGCTCGCAACTGTCAAAAAGCTTTTCCTCGCTGTGGGCAGAACTTCGCCACCTTTTTTCAACCTTTGCAAAAAATCGCCACGCCATTTCCGAAAATTCAGTAGGAGTACTACAAAACAATCAAACAGGAACAAAAATTTTGACACTTTCATCAAAAACCTGTATTTTGATTACATTTACAATATTCCTTGATCAAAATTCAAGGACTTTAATAATATTCTGAAACATGACAGAATCTCAGTAGACTCGGATCGGGATTAAGGATACCCGATTACAGAGACGGAAGCAGTCTGTGTTTCATCCCTTAGCTTTAAATCTCATTCGTTTAACGTTGCCTCCTCTTTCTTCTAGCATTTCTTCCAGTAACTCTTCCTGTAAATTTGGATTTTGAATACCCCCAAAAAAAGAACACGTCATTATATATTACCCTTAACATTTCATTCAAACATATCGCATTGTGAACTGATCGCGGCTAAATTCACTGGACGAAGCAATGGATGAAGCGTATTCAGATGATGCTGCCGTGGTACCACCAGCAGCTCGTATTTCGGCAACCGAAGGTGCTGTTGGAGTGGCTGCTGTGATCGTCGAATTACGTCGTTCGGGCGGTGGCGGAGGCTTACAACTACCTGAAAATACACTTGTGATTTCAAATTCAACCCGATTGAAAGGATAAAGTGATAAAATGATAATACGACAAAATTGATTTACTTAAATTGAATTTTTGATGTTACTGGACTACGGCCAAGTGCCCAGTACAACTGGACTTGAAAACAGATAGCGATACCCAACATACACACACAGGCGCGCACACACAGATGCACACACACACGCATACATCCACAGCGTAGCAAGTACACCTTGAGACAGTTAAATCTCTGCTAAGCGCTTTTGTGAGACGAACAGATAAGTTGATAGTTTTTTCAGGAAACGAGCATTAACGTGCCAGCAGCCTGGCTACAGACGATGCAAGATTGGTTAAAATTGTTGGGCTAAAGTCCGGGCGTTTTTTCGACTGGCGCGGTATCCTGGCCTGTCGAGTCAGGTCGTCGACTTCTTAGCGATTGTTCGGGGTAGCAGCGGGGTCCTCGTCCTTCGTAAGTCGTCCAAAATATTACAGCGCTACAATGGATCGACTGCACTGGATCGTCACACTCCTCTGGATCGTCACTACTAGACCCACAGTAACAATACAGACACGGCGGCCTTTATATAGGCCGCTTTCGCGCCAATACACGACCTACCTAGGAGGGAGTTATGATACAACAAAACAACTGGAAAAGCTGCTCGCCATATGCAGCACACTACCAATCACCGCTATCGCAAATATTCCAAGAAACTAATTTTAGC